GCATCCGCGCCATTTCTCGCCCCCTTTTTATTCTCGCCCCTCTCCCCTGCGCCCGCCGCCAGAGGACGGAGAAGATCCCTCCTACGACCCTTATCCCAGACCCGCCGCCGCCCTTCGTCGACGATGCGGACGAGTCGACGGAGTATCCAATTCGCCCCGCGGCCCGACTCGCCGGGGAAATCCTCGTGCAAATACGTTCGCAACTGCTCCGGCTTTGCCTGTGTAAACATCCTCCCTCCCTCTTCGGGGCGCGCCTATGGAAATTGAACCGCCGAATTCGACGCCGCGAATCTCCATACGCGGAAGGAAACGTTATCGTTGCTCGGGCGTGTATGAATTTTTCACCCTTTACAGTCTGACCGCCACATAATGACTAGCCTCAAGAATCCTCGAGCGAAGCTGCGGGATGCGTCGGGGATCAGTTGGACGATCCCTTTCATTAAAATATTCACGGGCGCCGTGACTCTCGTATCGGGACTGAGGATCTCCGGTGCATACGTAGGTTTACCTAGATTAACTTGGAAAGATCCGGGGGTATCATTTTCTAATCCGTCAAATTACTACGCCCTTCGTTGCTACGCGGTCGACTCGCTCTCACCCTTTGTTTGAACAATCGCGATCGGCAGGATGTCGCCGCCGCGAGCGCAGAAGTGCAAATAATAAACTGTCAGACAGCCGTGACGGGCTGACCGAAGGCAGATTGACAGGAAACGAAACGCGAACCGAATCGATCTCCCACGAGGGCCATTTTGGACCGATCAAAGTACTCGACGCAACGGATACATTGTGTGCGGGACATTTAGAGATCGTTATTTTGTACTTTGGGAGGAAGCGGCTTGAAAAACACGCGTGAAACAACAACTTACTCCGCACAATTATTGCAACATTATATTACAAATCGCCGCGCTATGGTTGCACAGTATTATTCTATTTATTATAGAATATATTATCATAAATTATATACAATGTATTATGCTACGTTGATTAATATTGATACGCTGCTCGCGAATTAACATTCTGCATTGAACCGTTAAGCCGCCGCGTTTGAATTCGGCTTTTGATTTCCGCTCCCTTTAAGACAAACAATTCCGGAAGCGAAATCAACGTTGCAGCCATGATTGCAATCCAAAGGGACGAGTAAGTGGCGATCTAAAATAATTAACGAAAGAAACGTGAATGCACGGACGGTAGAGTCAATGTGAAGTAATGAGAATTTACCAGGGTTGAGAAAGTTATAAAAGTATCTAGTTACAGTTACACGTTACCAATTGCGAAAAGTAACGCGTTACAGTTACAGTTGCTCAAAAAGTAACGAGTCGTTACTTTACAGTTAACTTTGTTGCAATAAAAATAAAAATATCACCTCTGCATTTGAATTGCGCAGTGTTGATGAAGGCACAAAGGCGAGGTTTAGTGCGATCTGTGGAGGCTTAAAATATATATAAAGTAACTATTAAATTAGTTACTAGTTATCGGAAAAATGTAACTGAGTTAAGTTACAGTTAGAGATGGGGAGAAAGTAACGAAGTTAAGTTAGAGTAACCAAAAAAAAGCAACTGTAACTGTAACTTCGTTACAAGTAACGAGTTACCTCCCAGCCCTGGAGTTTACATAATAAAAATCTGCCAAGTACTCCGTATCGCGTGGTGTAACAAAGGTAAAATAATTCGAGTCAATTCATTAGAAGCGAAAGATGAATCGTTGCGGTAGGACTTGACAGCCAGGGAATGCTGTCGCGCGAGAACAGCGACGCGAAGTGTCTAATCGCCTAATAAATGACGGAAGGAGGATACGTGGTCGAAAGATACTATGGCCGGATTGACATGTCGACCATAACGAGTGAGCCATTATGGATTATTGGGGTCACGCGCGTTTGATGCCATCCCCGATTACGGTTGTATATGATTGGCAATAAACTGTCAGCCGCTCTCGGTACAGCCGAGCCTCATCGCTGATCGATCGATTCCTCTCGAACGCTTTCGGAAGCCATTTCGCTTCTCTCTTTTATTCGCGGGAGGCGCGAGAGAGCGTGAGAAAGCGCGAGAAATCGCGGGAGATCTCGTAAAAATCGCGATTAACCATCCACCGTGATTATCTATCAAGAATGTACTTTGCGCGCCCGGGTATAAACATTACGCGCGTTATTTTATTTTAAGGAAAGACGCCACGAATTTATCTGTAGCGTCGACGCTTCACAAGACCAGCTGCCTATACGAGTGCAATCTGAAATAAATTAATACAGTTGTCATTTTGAATTCGCCGAGAGAATTAAAGCTACAGCGTCCAGTTGAACTCTTTCTTCCAAGTATCATGTGCTGCCATCTAGAAATGACCCACGGTACCAAAGTGTGCGCGCTGAGCGATCGAATATACTTTACAAAGGTTTTATTTATTTGTTTATTAAATCTCGATATGTAAAATTAATGAACGCTCGTATTATCGCTGCTGAACAAGGACGAGGCTCTATTTTAAGCGAATAATATAATTCAACGTATAACCGTGTCCACTGGTTCCTACCTTTTATTAATTGGCGCCGTATCCTTGTGACTATCGCACTCCGCTCAAGCGGCATAAATCTCTTTGTCTGTACAAATTGAAATGACCGAACGGTTTCGCTCCGACGAGAATAACTCATCCAGGGAGAATTCCGGAGTCGATGACCAATTTTCCCAAACCCGTCGCTCGGCCCGGGGGCCCGCCTTATTCGCCGGGCGCATGCCGGCGAGCACCCGGATTATTTATATCGCAGCATGCGCTTTTCTACCACGGATCAACGTCTTTCGTCGTTCGTACCCCGTGTACGGGGCGAGACGAGACGAAGACAGGTACAAATCTACAGGAGGACGTTTCCCGAGCGTGCTTATCCCTCTGACCCCGCGGCATTAATAACATTTCACGAGATCTCCTCGAATTCCTCTCCCTCATCCGCTCCTCACGGCCGCCGCGCGGACCCCCCGTCGAAGAGATCGCGTCACTGACGTGTACCCTTCGCGCGGCGATCCTGATGGATACGCGGGATTCGATGGGAACAAAAGGATGTTGGTTTAACGTGGAAGGCGTGTTTGTTGTTTTGATGAGGTATAATAGGATGGATCCCGGGTGTTGATGCATAGCGCGTAGCGGGGTGCCGCGGGCCTCGGCCGGGCCCCCGCACGTCGAGACCCCCGTAGACAGCGGCCGCAACACGTCCATCACGTGTCACGGTTATGTATTTAGACATATCTCACTATCATCTCGCGTATCTCCTTTCTCTTTCTCCCTCGGTCACTCCGCGCATCCTGCATCCTTGAACCCTCTCCCACGACTCCTCGCCTGACGCTTCGTCGTCGTACCAGCCGTTCTGTCGCATGTTAATCAGGATTTTGTCCCGCGGAGAGAATTCATCGACCCTCAAGGAATCGGTTTTGTCAGAAATGCAAGGGACTCGAGCGAGAATGTCCTTGGTGAAGAACGTTCGGATGCGCGATAATTTCAGAGTCGCTGCTTCGAATTTTTAAGACGCCCAAATCCGTAAATCACAAAGACCGATGCATCTAGTAGCGACGTAACCACCAAGCGACGATCTGTGGCAGATAAATAAAGCTTTATTCGCGATCAATTGCGAGGCACAAAAACTCAGCACACGCGCTCACATTTGCTTTTCAATCACTCGTCCAACCTGCCTCCTTTCATCACTCATCCCTTCAACTCTCTGTCCAATTTGCTGCGCCGGTATTCCCGTCCCCTTACTATTTCGCCCGACGATTCATTAATCGATCCCGTAACAATCTCGTCTCCCCTCCGCCCTTGGCCGTCGTGCAATCCTCTTCTTCGCCACCGCGCGCTTCCTCGTTGGTCCCCGTTGGTCCCGCCTGGGCGCCGCGTATCGTTCATCCAGGCCCATATTTCAACATTAATTTCCCGGATGGTGATACATCGTTCGCATCAGCCTGGCCTCGTATCAGCTCGGAGCTCATCATCATCCGCATCCCCTTTTTGCTCTATCCCGCTGTCGCGCGCGCGCAAGTCCTCTTTTTCCTCTTCTTCAGGGGCGAATGGCGACTTCTCTCTTACGTCCGAGGCTAACAACTTAAAAAGTCTTCCGACAAGAGCACAGTCGATTAGAGACCAGTTTAATAGATCAACTGCCTTACCTACTTTAAAGTGCAGTAAGTAAATATCTTATTTACCACGTTTCGAAATATCAAGCACTGTAATATCTATTCGATACGCAGAAACAATGTTAAAAAAATGTTTTAGATTCGCGAATATTGTATGCTTTAGTTTATTCTCTTCCCCCCCCCCTCTCTCTCTCTCTCTCTCTCTCTCTCTCTCTCTCTCTCTCTCTCTCTCTCTTTCTCTTTGTATATCTGAGACTTTTCGATCACAATGTAAACTGCGCTGCGTAATTTTAACCAGTCGATATGTATTTCCATTTAACAAGATTGTTCGGGTTGGCGAGGGTCCGGAGTCAAATTCCATTAAGTTTTACATGTGTCCGTCCCTGTCCTTACTCTCCGTCTTCTTCTTCTCTGAATAATCACGCACTCGCCACAGCGACCCTCTCGATTGCCGGTCGTTAATATCGGCCGCCAGGTAGTCTCTGTCGATTGAATTTTTTACTGGTGCCCACCGCGGAAGCCGCGGCCCGGACCGGTATCCCCTTCGGGCAGTTGCTTCTTAAGAGTAACTGACGTTCGCTTTAAACGTCCGTCATTCGTCATCGGACCCGCGGTGCCAATGCGATCCGACAGGAAATAGGACAGTACGGCCGCGGTGGGATCTCCCGCTCCTCGAGATCGCGCGAAATGCGCAGCAATGACGATATTCCCCGTCGTTATTTCAATGATATCCGCGTCCGTTAAGCGGCTCGCAATCTACAGAGATAAATACGCCCCCGAACGATCTCTGACACCGATCGTAGACCGAACGTCAGCCGTCCCGAAAGAATGCACGATTATCATCAAGGTTGATCGATAAGTGAGAAAGTCAGGTTGCAATCGAGGCAGAAATGACAAACGTGACAAAATGAGACACATATTATTTTCTTTACGTACAAAATGTTGCGCGATTTTACATTCTATGAACACGTAGATAACATAGGTCCGCGGCCGGTTTGCAACAGACAAGACCGGCGTAAACCGGACGCAGCCCTGACATAATATTGACTATATCGTAAAGATAATTGAAAGAAAGGACGATACATTAAAAATAATTTTGATTGTATGTACATATCAGCTCAGCTAATTCGACACGCTAATTGACACACATACACACACACACACACGCATACTCTGCTCATACGCGCAGTTTCGACGTTTTGCACTCGACTTGCAATAAATAAATATATAGCGTTTCTCACAATTTGACACTTTCTACGATGTAAACCAAATTTTTGGGAAATAATGTTGCATTTGCTCCCTTAACTTATGCATTTTTATGCTTTTTTCCTTCGAAAAAAAGTCAATTTAAAAATTAATTTCATATCTTCAAAACTTCGTGTAAACTATTACACTTTCGAGCTTTTTGGCATCGAGCAATAAATCATAATTACAATTATGATTTTACGATAGCTGTGCTGTTCCCACATCGAAAAATTATTATTACATTATCACACAATAAATGTAAGTATAAATTAAAAGTAAAGATATAAAAAACGGCATTATTATTTCCTGAAGTATCGTAGAAAATATTGCGATCACTCGGAATTGATTACTTTCCCCAATTTGACTATAAAATTGTGCGAATGTCCATCGACGTCCTCTAATTCCCTCGAGTAAAATTTCGCCGCTATCCTGGCGCGTCCGTCTAACTTCGGCATCATGGAGAAGCTGCATTCCGCGTCTGCATCCACCTCGACCGGCTCCGTTAGCTTCAGCTTCAATTGCTCATCCAGACCGGGCCCTTCGATAAGGAATCTACCTTTCCTCAAAGGAATCGGCAACGGATTGCGGAACTTGGCCGAAGCGTGGAGAGTCTGACCGACGACTGCTTCGTTATGCAACTGAATAAGAAACATTGATTTTTACTAAGTAAAATCCCTACTTCCTTCCCTCGGGTTTACTTTTGCCGATTGCAAACGTTGGTCACGCATATTCTGATAACTACCGTGATTTTTATGTCGGGCTTCCTAACGCGGAAGTCGTCCTGCGCGAAGTACTCGAAGTTCGTGTCCTTCACGGTGGCGAGGCAGGCGATGTTGAAAGCGCATTGATCCAACAATCTCGGGCCGTACTCCTCCCAGGAAACGTCCATGCGAATTTCCTCGAGCACCCCTGGCCGAACGAGTCTGTCTATGTGCAATCTTTTCACTGGATCGCCAACTCGGCCAGTGTACAGCACAGTTTCCACTCTCAGAATTACAGACACACGGTATTCCATCGTTGAATGCCGATTTTTTATCAGTAGAACGACGCTACCCAAAATTAGAAAGCTCAAGTCAGTATCTATCTTGATGTTCTCGATGCAATAAGATAAAGCGTTAAAAACAATCTAAACCAGAGACGTCTAAGCGACATTTTTGAAAGAAAAATAAGATTAATTTGCCGAATTCTATATATTTTTTCTATTCTTTTTAATTTTAATGTTATTAAATAAGATTAGATTATTGTGTGAGAGAGAGTATTATCTTGGCGTAAAAAGTAGATTAAGTAATTGCTACATTATTCAAAGAGTATCTGCAGGAATAGTAAAATGATTTAATCAAAGTAACTACACTGACAAAACATTTTGTTTAACTAAGTAAATAGATTTACTTAAAATATTTTTTTACTAAAGTAAATATTTATTTCGTTTAAATAAAAATATCAAATTTCAAGTAAATCTGTGTATTATATTAATTAAATTAATTTAAATCATTACATTTTCTATATTCAACTAAAGATTTCATGAGATGGAGAATACTATTTGTTAAATGAAATCATTGTTTTTGTCAAATAAGAAATCCAATTTTCTTCGCTGTAAAACTTATATCCTAGTAAACGTTTTATAGAATTAAAGTAAAATTTTTTAAATTTAAAATTATCTGCTGTTTGATATTCAATAAATACTTAAATTAAAGAAATGCATGTCTTAATTTGTTTATTATTAATTTTTTAAATTTAAGTTAATAAGCTATTAGGAGCCACCTAATGAATAATTTTCTTGAGTAAAGTAATATTTTTTTGGATTAAGATATTTTTTTATCAGTGTACCTGAATGGCTGACCGATTACGATATCATCGCGCAGTTCGAAGGTGAACATGACGTCGTTGAACTCCTCGTTGAGATAATAACGACTGAATAAAGACTCGCTCTGGCGCAGCGCCTTCAGCATAGCAGCACGTTCTTCATCAGATTCTGTTAACATTAAAAATCATTATTATTACCTTTGTAATTGGCATGTAATGACATTGTAATGACTGATCAAATATTATAATAAACCTTTTGTGACTACTTTTACGAAAAATATAAGTTCTATTTTTTTACCCCTTTAGTTCCCTGAGTTGCTACATAGTGTCTCATTAAAAAAATAACAACAATTTAGTCATAAAAGGATTAAATAAATATTTCGGTATTAGATAAACGAATACATTGATCGCAACGCTACGAGAATCAAATGAAATAATATTCTTGTTTCTTTACGAATGTAGGCTGGTTATCGCGCAAAGTATCAAAGATTGGATCTAAACGCTCTGCAAGTGGCAATCCAACTGTGAACTAGTCTCCGTTAGATTCCACTTACTTTCTGGATACTTGTAGGTGTACGTGATGTCCTCTCTTGCCCATCTCCCAACCGCTTTCGTGCTGATCAGCTGGCCGATGCTGCGAAATCGCCAGGGTCTCATTATTCAACGCGATCCTAATAATCGCAATTGACAATCGGCCATACGTACCCGTACATATCCTTGCGAACTAACTTCAACGGCTGCGTGGGCCCGTTGTAACGCCAGTAGACTTTGTCAGCGTTCACCTCGGCGAAGAGGAACGCGTTGTCGTAAGGACGCAGGACTTCCCCTTTCTTCACGGCGGCCACCGATGCCGGCCCGCAGCGATACGCGCCTTCGCTCAGTTCCTGAGGAGTCGCATCGATTGCCTGCCAGCCCGAGCAATCCGGCGACAAATCCAACCGCTTCATCCACACCTCGTTCCAGACGTGGAAATTCCTTTCACAGTGAAAATTGCTCATTCTATCATCTACCTCACAATCGACGTTTCCTAATTTCCATTTAAAATCGTCAGCCGCATCGAACACGCTGACTATTACAAGCAATGAAATTAATCGCTCCGTGTGTGTTTTACGCTGCTATTTTTGTTCTGATTCTTGTCGTTTGATCATGACTTAATCGAAAGCTGAACGTTTTTCCGCCCTCAAGTTACCATATGGAATCGCTGTTGAGCTCCTCCATGATCTTCCCTTCCGCATCCACGAAGTAATCTACGGTCAGGCTGCTCTGAGTGTCGTGCGCGCTCGAGTAGTTGGTCACCACTCGGCAGGGTATACCAAGAGTACGGCAAATCGTCGCCAGCACACCGGAGAATACCCAGCACTGTCCGTACTTGACCGGTTTCTTCGTCTTGTAGTATTGCTGGAGTATCTTCTGCGAGCCCATCCACCTGGTAGGGGGTGTGCCGCCCCCGTAATCGTCCGACCAATTTCCCATCACCGCCCCGTTATCGTCGGGCGAGTTCACCTAGAGACCGACGTCATTTTAGCGGCCCGGAAATTCCGGAAACTTCGCTCGCTATCTTAAATATCGCTTTCCAAAGTACGGTTTAGTATCGCGGGGAAAGTTCTCCCTCCCGTGTGGCTTACCGCGGCGGATAGGCAGCGCGTTATGACGACCGGGTCGTTCCTGCCGGAGACGCGGACTCTACCGATGTGGTTCATCAGGTGCAGGGCGCAGTCCAGGATGTCTCGCTCAAATTGCGCATATTTCCACACGGTGGGCCGCAAACGGTTGTGACTGCCGCGCCAGATCAAACCGTCCTCTGCCAGCACGTATTCCTGACGCTCAGCCTCGCCGTCCAAGTACACCACGTCGTCTGGAAAGGAGGAATCCTTAGCATTACTCGGGAAACGGCAATTTAACACGTTCGCCGTCGCCGTGCGGTTAGCAAACCGACCGCTTTATTTTTAGTAGTTATACACAGCGTGCAGCATGTATACTTATGTATACATGGCAAATAGGCAAACCGAGAACGTTACGTAATGTGTCTTCGTGTATGACGTCGCGTTCTCGTGAAAATTAATGCGTCATATGTGACGTGGTAGCGAACATGTTAGAATATAATAATTATATACAGGGTGTCGGATTCGATTTGGACTACTCCAAATATTATAGTAGATTGGGTCAAACTGAGAAGAAAAGTTATATGCCATTTTACAAAATCCGTAATTATTATCGCGTAATTAAGAAAAACGTCTGAGCCAATAAGTGCACGGAGGAGCTGAAGGCCGGACTCGGCAGACATGCAAAATGGTGTATTATTCTCCTACCATCAGAAAAACTTTTTCGGCGCGGTGTCATATGTCGCGCGTTCGCTCGCTGCGCGCCGTTCGCCCGCTCACCGCTCCCCGTTCGCCAGCGTCTCTCATCGATCGATGCGTGACTCCACCTCTCGCTATCGGATCTTGAGAGATGTCAACAAATACACCATTTTGCATGT